TCTCTCTCTCTCTCTCTCTCTCTCTCTCTCTCTCCCTCTCTCTCGCCTCTTCTGTAAACCTCGCCACCGCATTAGGTGGCTGGAGGCGGGTGCTAGGAGAAGCCTTCTAGGAGCTGGGGTTTAAAGGTAAACGAGAGTCTGTCTCTTTAATTAAAACTCACTAGCAATTTCTTATGCATCAAACCTTCTTTTATGAAGCTCACGCTGGTCGGGTGGCAGAACTTCCCCCCAACATCTTTCTTGTAGTAATCTCTCTTTAATTGTATGAAAATTTGGTTGATTTATTTTAATTGCCAAAACCAGTAAGATTTATTTGTACGACAAACCAAACTTAAATAATAATTAAAAATATCTTTTTTAAACCACCTTAAACAGCAATTTCCTGGGATGCTTTAATATTTCAAGCAAAATGAGGTTCAAGTTATTTCTAAGCTTTCTCATTTTGGTCTCTTCCTTTAATCTCCAAAATATATGGAGAATAAATTCATTCTGAGATTCATGCTAAGCAGCCAATAGTATAAAGATGGGCCACAAGGCGGGTGTGTACTTCCAACTGTACTCTTTTAGGCAAACTGAACAGTCTATCAGTTTCCAGCCTACTTACAGGAACAGCTAGTTTAGGAAATAGCCATAAAAGTTAGATGACACTATATACCAGGAGTTCTCTTCTTCTTTTTTCCTTTTTGTACTGGGGAACCAAACCCAGGGTCACTCTACCACTGAACTACATCTCCAGCCCCTTTTGTTTATTTTGAGATAGGATCTTGCCCAGGCTGGCCTTGAACTTGCAATCCTCCTGCCTCAGCCTCCCAGGTAGACTAGGAGTTCTCTTTAAAGACATCAGACTTAAGAGAAACTAGTTTGCCACCATGCCATGCATGGAATATCTACTGCTAGAGGCAATCACTCCCTCAATAGACCCCAGCACACAAACCTGAAAATTCTGTGACTTGAAAGAAGAAAAGTAACAGCCAAACTTCTGTTTCACTGTAGTCCAGAATGATGTAGACATACTTTGGAGAACTTGAGATTTTCTATGAGGCCAAAGGTTTTGTTTTTGTTTTGAATTTGATTTTACATGAATATTTTATAAGACATTTTAAAATGAAGGGAATAAGCTTATCGGTATGCAATTAGCCATTAAATATAGAGTCCTGAATTAATTAATTCTGTTTTTTAAGTCCTCTAATCCATCAAAAGCTGAGAAACATGTTTTGAATCTTCTTCAAATGAATTTGGTTTATTCTTTTTTTTTTTAATAGTTGGACACAATACCTTTATTTCACTTATTTATTTTTATGTGGTGCTAAGGATCGAACCCAGGGCCTCGTTGGGTGCAAGGCGAGCGCTCTACCGCTGAGCCACAACCCCAGTCCCCTATTCTTTTTTTTTTTTAAACCTCCAGTTTAATTAAATTCTGAGTTTCTAACTATTTTCCTTCTCTACATAAAAATTTTTGATTAATAAAATTAAAAATTCTTGGCAGACTGTACCTTTAATCAATAAACACATTTTGGTCCAATGAAAGATATACCCTTATATATAACCTCTTGGAATAAAATTAAACACTAAATCATACTTGTAAATAATCCCAAGGTCAAAAAGAAATACTAACAAGGACAAGAATTTCAGTTCTGTTATGATAGGGTAACAACCTATCCCATTATAACTGATTATGGCTAAAAACTACAGAAAAATAAGTACCCGAGGATTTGGAAAAGTAAAGAAAAGCAAGGTAATTATGAAGAAAAGCAAAATTTAAGAGCAACCACACTGGATGAGTTTCCCAATTCTTTTTTTACTCTTTTGGCTCTGCCCTGA